TAGTAAATCTTGAAGAAGAACCTGATCTTTAAACCCAACAAGAAGTTGACACAAACCTTCAAGAAACAGAGCAGCTTGATGCTCATTCGTAGCTCCAACAATATCAGTAATCACACTCTTCCTCAATCGATTCGCATCAACGAAAACACTCACAAGCTCCTCCATCTCTTCCTTCGCCGCCAAATCCAAGCAGTAGCGATCTTCAACGGTTGTTCATTCACCAGATCTAGAGAATCATCGGAGTCTTGATTCTCTCGATCGATGAAAGATCTGAGGAGATTAGTGAGGAGATAGGGATGGATATCGCCGAGGAAGAGAAAAGGAGACTCGAGAGAGTTACGCCATGTTGGGAAGAGAAGGTAAGGGATTGTGTTTGAATCGGCGGCGAGATCTAAGGCTTCGTAGTAAGAGACTAACTGACGGAGGACGAGATCGACGTTTGTTGAGATTACGGTGGCGGAAGCGGCGGAGGAAAGGGAGTTACGGAGGAGAGGGAGGTGAATTTACGAGATGGTTTCTTGCGTGAGAAGATAGAGAAAGGCATTTCTGTGGAGCTCCTCCTTCTATTTAAGAGCCTGTCTAAGGGGTTTCTGCCACAGAAATGGAGCGCCTCTCTTCTACAGAATTGTTGCTTCTCCCGGCCCGTAAGAAAACCTTCATATCTTTTTCTTATTTATTCTTCATTTCCCAGTCAAAAGAGAAAGCCAGTCATGTGGCCTGGATGGATTCAAAACTATGTGAAATTGTGAAAACAGGAACGACTCATTCTCTTCTCAATTCCATAAATCAGATGCTTTTTGCTTTTTATTCACTCCGGTCCAATTATGAAACCAATTTTTGGTTACAGCTCGACGATGTTGGAGTCTTTAGTTACATAAAGTTTTACCGACCGATCTAGGACTGATGTGAATGAGAGGATAACAATGGCTTAACCGACCACGTAGGGTGGTCACAACGACTTAGAACTCTTCATGTGTGTGGTTGTATATTTATTGCTATGTAATGCTTGCTGGGTTGTGTGATTGAAAATCCGAAGAAGGACGTCTAATTCTCGTTTTTAATTTGATGCAGATCAACTTGGAATCTTGGATAGTGATACCAAAAAGTTTTGGGAAGTGATAATTGCTCTTTTGGTTCTTGCTTCTTCATCTAGAGGCCTTTCCACCTTTCTGGTACGATCATTTCTTTCTTTCTACAGCAAGATAGTTATTGGAATTACCATATGGCTGCGAAGGATTTTTTTGTAATGTTAATTGAGTCGCTGAAGTTTTCTGATTAATCTCAATGATCATGTTACTTGTTTTTAATCAACAACTACTTTGATCGTTACTCAGAATCTTGGAAGCCTTTGCCTTTCTAACATGCGTTCTTGGGATTTTTCATTCAGCTGCTACTACTATTGATGTAGCAATATCACTTTGTTATTTGTGCTCGGTTAGGAATTATAC